TGAAATTAACGATACTTTGTATCTGGCCATGTTAAAGTTAATTAAAGTTCTAATCGTAAACGAACATTATATGGAGTAATCTGATCCTAAAAGAATAGTGGATAAATTCTCAAAATTTATTGATGGCCGAGAAACGAATATTGATGAAGTAGTACCAGAAGTTACTACTTAATGATTAAATGATATCTGGTATATTGGTATTGGAAGCTACCACGTTATGATTAAACAAAATGATGAAATGGTACCATAAGCTACCATTGGATGATTGAACAAAATGAGAAAGTGGTACCAAAAGTTACAAGTTATATGTGATCACACAAAATGATTTCTCAATATATTATATGAGTCTAAGGTACTATATCAGATCACATTGAGATTCGAGATTATATAGACATTACAATAAAGTGCTCCAGAAGAAGCACATATGGTAAATGATTGTAGTCATGAAGTACTACACGCTTATATTATGGAAAAACTAAATTGGTATTATTATTACTGAGGAACAAGCACAGAAAGTTCGTATGATGGAAATATGGAGAATAGGCAGTACATGCTCGATAAGTACAAGATACACAAATATTACATAATAGAACCCATAAAAGAAGGGTGCGTCTCGAGAGTATAAAACTCCGTAACTCTGCCACCCGTTATTGTTATCTGGGTTCATAATGAGAGATCTAAAGGATCAAAAAGATCTTTTTCGCTTGACCCCTTGTGTTTCCACAGAATCTTGAAATGTGATGCATTCTTGAAGCTTTTTGATAAGCTCACCAGACGTATCTGCAAATTTGAATACTTCTCTCGTTGGAGGAGATATAAAGGTTTGATATATTTCTTGGTCTAAAAATCCAAGCAAACCAGAAAAAAAGTTATTAAAATTCAATAGACCTATGGGCTTGTTATAAAGTTTCAATTCTGCCCAAGAAGCAAGGATGAACATTGTCATTAGCATTCCATAACTGCCTGGAAGAATGATAAATGCATCGCTCTTGTTCGCCATATCCATCATACAATCATGAATAGAATGAGTTAGCATCATGCATATGGAATCCTTGACGACCCTTGTTGAAGCTCTATGAAAAGGTATGATACTCTTCACTTCTATCTCAAAACATTTTCCAGCCAATAAAAGATTATCAAAGAAAGTGATGCTAGTCCCTCCATACAGTAAATTGATTTTTTGATTTCCCATATCCCTTACTAACTGACATTTTGAGAAAAACTTACCAGTCTAGAACCACCAAGAACACATATGGTTTTGATCGGCTGAAGAAATTTATTACCTTGCGAAGGCTCTGAAACATCCATCTATTTATTGATAAACTTAATTTTTCAAAAGTTTGTGAGGCATATGATTATGATAAATGACTCGCTATTTAAATAGAAAATTATACAAAGCGATAAATAATTTTACTGTTTTCTTCTGACAATTGCAACTGACAGATAAGGTGTTGGGTTTTAAATAAATCTTATTTGTCGGCAGCTAGAAGATTTTCTAGAAATTACAGTGCAACATACTAAACTTCATTAGTATGAATTTTCATAATAACAAGACTAGTTTTACAAAATTTATCGTTTGAAACAATATTTTCGAGTCTATAACGTTCTTCTTCATTTTTGAAATGAATCCATAGAGACAGAAGCTCACGATGCACATACCCACTAGGATGTGTCTCAAGAATCTGGTGGATCGTTTGATCCATAGATTCCTTACTCAATTCATCCTTTATAAATGCTATTTTATCTTCTCGATTTTTGGACACAAACCCCACAGATTTACATCGTGTGTCACAAGTCCATCGAGCGCATTTGAAGCATCCACCTAATCGTTTTGCTCTTCGTTTCTTTGCAAAAGTACTCTTACCCATACCTGGCATATATTTGTATGAATTTGGAAACTCTCCCGACAATCGAACTTTTGCTTCAATCAACCATCGAATATCGCCTGGAATATCATTAATCATTAGCACCCTCAATCTTTCTATTCGAGACCGATAAATTATTTTTATGATATTTACTGGAACAAAAGAATAATATTTACGGATATTTGAGAGTGCCAAATCCATATGTAAATTCGGACCTTTGTTCGTAAAGATTAAATGGATTGCATGATAATTTATAGAAATGATGCGTATGCTATACGACTCTAAAAACAAAGAGTATGTCTGACAGAAAGATTGATACGCATGTGATACGGTTCTGAATTTAAATATTGTGGATCAGAATCTACACTTGAAGTGCATTTATTGTTGTCGAATGATGATGTGATATATTTGTGATAAATGGGTCACAATGAATTATTGTGATATTTACTGATATAAATGATGATGGTTTGAATGATTAACTGATTTTTTGTGATATGAGATACTTTGTTCTCGATTGGTGAAATTATTACTGGCTAAATATTTGTGAATCGATTTTTTATCAAACTGAGTATGAAAGGGGTACGATATATATATATATATGGGCCCACTACCCCTCCATGTGTGCTACTAGATATTATGGATCCACTAGATAGCCACATGTGTGTGACACGTAACCTGAAGTTACGAGATGATTTGATCAAAGAATGACACAAGATGGATACGAAAGAATGAAAATAAGTGTCATATGAAAGTGATGAAACTAGTAATATAATCAGCTCATATGATGAACTCATGAAAAAAATGTGCACATTACAAGTGATATGAGTTCAAAGTCCTCCTATTATATGTTGAAATCGAGAATGAAATGGAGATTATATGAACTCCCCTCAAGAAACTCAATACTGAAAATATCAGGGATCTGTTGAGATGAGGGGGAGAATCAATTGTTGAAAATAAAAGTGAAAATTATAAACTGAATGATACTGATGGTGGTGAAATGTATGAAATAATATGATGATGGAATAATACGCTGGAAGCGATGACATTGTGCAAATTAAAATTCCCCAAATAAGTGATGAAAGGAGGCATATATATGGTATTGATGAATTCAACTGATAATGAGATATCTCAATATATTACGGGGAATAATGGAAATGAATATGTTTCGACACAAACAAATGAATAGCGCTATATAAATGATATTGATGAGAATGAAATCAACTTAAATGTGAATATTGGGAACTATTGGCAGTAAGACCATTGAAATCGATTGGTGATAAGAATGAGTTTAAGAATGAAAGTTGCACAAAAGCATGATATGGCATATTATCATAAATACCACCAGTATCTGAAAATCTGAATGAATCTATATGATATTCATGAAAATTATTGAAAAGTTATTATGGTGAATCTATGGAATACGCGTTGTACTCTTTTTCCCTTGGCTAAGGTTTTATCCCATTGGGTTTTTCTAGCAAGGTTTTTAATGAGGCAACAAGGATGGCGTATTCACATGAATAGTGTACTCTTTTTCCTTCATTAGGATTTTGTCCCACTGGGTTTTTCCTAATAAGGTTTTAACGAGGCATATTCATGGTATAATGAGGACTACTGGATAATTGATATGATTCCTCATGATGATGAGAAAAGACTGGAGTAGCTGCACTCTTTTTCCTTCGATCAAGTTTTTTCCCATTGGGTTTTCTTGACAAGGTTTTAACGAGGCAGCACATGGATACTCCATTGAAGATGACCTATTTGAGGGGGAGCAATGTTGTGCTTCCACAATGCTCAGGTTTTGTCCCACCGGGTTTTCCCGAGGAAGTAATGTTATAATTTCAAGATGATCAGGTTTTGTCCCACCGGGTTTCCTGAGGAGAAATGTTGAGATTCAACAATGATCAGATTTTGTCCCACTGGGTTTTCCTGACATGCTGAAGCAACGGTACATGATGGCCACAAGATATACTTGAAAATGTGCAAATTGGACTTTGTTTTAATCAGTTAAAATATGTTTAGAAATAGTCATTCAAGGGGGAGTGTTGTGAAATATTTATAAAATAATGTATGTGAATGACTATTTTGTCCCTGATGTAATTGTATTATTACGATTGTGCCATCAGAAGTTTCCTATAAATAAGAGCTTCAGTTATAATGAAAATTGTACCTAAGAGAAACATTTTCTCTATTCTCTCTCTTTCTCTCTAGTTTTATAACAAAATTCATAATATAATTTGAGTCACAAATTTAGTGTAAGGGAAGCTAACGGCTAGAGAAATCGATAAAATCATGTTTTTTTAGCAAAAAAATAAAAATAAAAAATATACTTATATTGTAAACGACAAGTAGTCCTATGTTAGGCTGACTTAACCGACATACTCTTTTTTGCAAATATATGCATATTTTATCAGAAAATGTGGTACTTTAGAATACAATATAATCACAAGTGTGGGGCATTCTATGACTGAAATTTGTTTCACTTGGTTCGTTGGGTCGATTACATTGAGATCAGAGCTAAGCAAACTAGAAAAGAGTAAGTGCAAGGTAGAGGTCTGCCAGTCAACAAGCCGTGACACAGTCGATCCGGCCCGACGGGCCGGCAGGTTTCCCATGGGTGACCCTTAACCGGCCCGCCAAAACCCAAGAGCCGGCCCGTGGAACCGGCCCTGTCCCGGACCCGTCCCGGACCGCCGGGACAAAAAAAAATAAAAAAATGGAAGACCCGGACACGTCCCGTAAAGTCAGGGTTGCCGGCTTCGAGAGAATCGGCAACCTACGGGCCGGGCCGGCCCGGCCCGTCGTCATGTCTAGTGCAAGGGCTACATTTAGACTACTTTGATGTTTCTCATGATCAAATACCTGTACTCCTCACAAAGGCCCAATTGAGATTATTTTCCAGATAAACCTGAGCTCATATCACTAAGCCTTAGAAAACAAATAAAACAGCCCAATTCTATTTTAATAAAATTAAAATAAAAAAATATAAATCAAAATTTCTAGAACAATTTATTATTGCAATTTGCCAAAAGGAATTTCATTTCAATTTTTTTTTTTTTTTTTCTCCTCAAAAATTGAAGAATTTTCAATCTCGTCTCCTAAAATGAGGAGCTTCTGGTGAGATTTCATCACTCTTCTATGTCTCAGCCCAGCACCACCTCCACCAACACCAGTAAGCGCTCATTATCCCCGTATTCCTCCGCCTCGTCCGCCGCCGGCGCCACCGCCGCAGCCCCAATTTTCCCGGCGATGAAGAAGACAAAGCCCCAGGCGGGCGGGTGCTCGATCGACGGCAACAGGAACGGCCAGCAGCAGGTCGCTCCGCACGTGCACTTCGCCGACCCGCCGGCTCTGTCCCCTATTACCGAAGACGATCCCAACGACGCCGTGATTGGGGCGTCCTCACCTTCCGGCGCTTTCATCCGCGGCGCCGCTGCGTCCGGCGGAGGAGTGACGGCCAATTTGTCTAGGAAGAAGGCCACGCCTCCGCAGCCTGCGAAGAAGCTCGTAATTAAGCTCGTTAAAGGTCCGATTTTTTACTTTCGTTTTTGTAATTTGGTTTAATATCGTTGTTTCTAATTATGCTGAGTTAATGTACCGTTCAAGTGTGGTGGAATTTCGGGAAATTTTTGAGGTTTTATTATTCATTTCCCAGCGTTTGAAAGGTGGAACAAAGAGCTTGTGGGGTGTGTGTGTGTGTGTGTGTGTGTGTAACTGATTGGCTAGATATTGAATTTTACCAGTGTGAGTAAGTTATTTCAAGTTCATTGTGTGTAATTCAACTCAGGCCTGTAAATTTGTAGAGATCTGATATTTTCTCAATTTTGAGAACCATTGTTATATATTTCCATATGCATGAATTGGAGCAAAAAATATTATGGGGCTGTATGGGGCAACCCTTACATTCGACCCTCATTCTTGTCTAGCAAAAATCATTTTGTTAAGATGATCAACACAGTGTATATAGTTGTTTTGCGAAGTATGAGTTTTTGTTTGAAGAGTATGACAATCGCATGCAAGTTTTCTGTGAGTCCGCCTTACGATGGACCCACTGATTTTAAAATATAATCCTTTAAACTGGTGGTTTAATTAGTTATTAGTTGAATAGGTTCTGGTTTAAGCTGACATTGGTTTTCCTTAGGAAAGTATAGATTAACATTTGCTTAAATGACTAATTTCTCATGCTTGAAGCTAAACCAACACTGCCAAGAAATTTTGAGGAAAATACATGGTCAACTCTGAAGTCTGCTATAGGTGCCATATTTTTGAAGCAACCTAATCCATGTGACTTGGAAAAACTCTATCAGGTGAATATGTCCTGCCATGCATTTTCTCTCTTTTTATGTTTTTGTATTGCGAACTGCTGATAACTGGCGTATGATCTTAAGGCTGTCAATGACCTTTGCCTGCACAAAATGGGTGGAAGTCTGTACCAAAGAATCGAGAAGGAATGTGAATCTTACATAGCCGCCGCTTTGCAGTCTTTGGTCGGCCAAAGTGAGGATCTTATGGTTTTCTTATCGCTCGTTGAGAAATGCTGGCAGGACTTTTGTGACCAGATGTTGATGATACGTGGTATAGCTTTGTACCTTGATAGAACTTACGTGAAGCAAACGCCAAATGTACGCTCGTTATGGGACATGGGTTTGCAACTTTTCCACAAACATCTCTCTATAGCTTCTGAAGTGGAGAACAAAACTGTGTTCGGTCTTCTGAAAATGATTGAGAGCGAGAGGTGACCTTCAAGCATTTAGCTGTTTACTGTGAATTACAACATAAATTATTACAAAACTAGTCCTGACAGATGGCTAAACTACAGGAAAAAAGGCAGCTGATTTTTAATATCACAATCATAACCACCCTTGTGGTTATCCGTATATTCATTTTACATTCACTTGCTTTTCGTGGAGGTAGCAGATGATTATAACTGATATTTAAGTAATTTTTACAGTTACTTCCCTGAAGTTTTAAATATTACAAATAACCTCAGTCTTTTTTTTTTTTTTTGCATTTATTACATCCCTTAATTTTTTTATTTTATTTATTTTATTTTTTTTGCTACAAGAAAAAAGTGGTTGAAAAATTGGGGTTAGCTGGTAATATTATGGAAAATTGATGGATGTCATTACAAAATATCTGATGATATCGGCAAATTTTGTCAGGTCAACTAATCATTGAGGCAAAGTGTCAAATGGAATCAAACCTGAAGGATGGTTTCAAAATTCTTTAAGTTATGTTGGCCTTTTCCGTAAATACCCCAACTTATGGTTAATTCTGTATCTCTTAGTTAAACTTAAGCAGTTATATATATCATTTGGCAGTCAGAGTATTGTAACTAAACATAGAGAATCTTCGTGGTTGCTTGTTGGTGCCTGTTGTTCATATCAGTCTATGCGTTCGACAAGTTGGACATAGGTCGACTCGAGCTTAGATTATTATGGTATATGGGCCTTCTCATAGTCAAATGTTATAACTTTGTTTGTTCTTGTAGGCTAGGCGAAGCAGTTGATAGGACTCTCCTTAACCATCTTCTGAAGATGTTCACTGCACTGGGAATCTACCCAGGAAGTTTTGAGAAGCCATTCCTTGAAGGCACATCAGAATTTTATGCAGCTGAAGGTGCAAAATATATGCAACAGGCTGATGTTCCAGATTATTTAAAGCATGTGGAGGTGTGAATATACTTTATCTTCTGTTATCCACCTATGCATTGTGTTGTTAAACCCTTTGCCATTATTGATGTTGCTATTGATGTTTCTTCAGATAAGGTTGCAAGAAGAACAAGAAAGATGCTTAATCTACCTGGATGCTAGTACCAGAAAACCATTAGTAGCCACCGCAGAAAAGCAACTTCTTGAGCGTCATACATCTGCAATTCTGGATAAGGTTAAATTATCCATCAATTTTCGATATCACTTTCTTACCTCGTGCTTGCATATGCATGTTCTGATACTTTCTTTCTGCTTTTACAGGGTTTCATGATGCTGATGGATGGGAAACGTATAGATGACCTTCAGAGAGTGTATATGCTTTTATCTAGGATCAATGCTCTAGAGTCATTAAGGCAAGCCCTTAATCAGTATATAAGAAGAACAGGCCAGAATATAGTCATGGATGAAGAAAAGGACAAGGAGATGGTATCCAGCTTATTGGAAATTAAGGCTAATCTTGATAGGATATGGGAAGAGAGCTTTGATAAAAATGAAATGTTTAGCAATACTATCAAGGATGCATTTGAGCATCTCATTAATATCCGCCAGGTATTACAGTTATAACATTTTAGTAGGATTCTGCTTTACAGTGAGGCGCGACTTATCATACCTATAAAATAGGAACCTCCAATTTGAGTATATTCAAGTGATGTTCTGTGATAAATTGATAAATAATTATGTGTTATCGTGCTCTTTTTACAGAATCGACCTGCTGAGCTAATTGCTAAGTTTGTCGATGAGAAGCTTCGTGCTGGAAATAAGGGTACATCAGAAGAGGAATTAGAGGGTACACTTGAAAAGGTTTTGGTCTTGTTCAGATTTATACAGGTACACATCCTCGTAGAGCTTTCATAATGGAAAATGTTGATTACGAATATACTTTGCCGTCCAAATTTTCCAGTAGATACTTTTATGTAAGGTTCTGATGTAGGGTAAGGATGTATTTGAAGCATTCTATAAGAAAGATCTTGCTAAGAGGCTTTTGCTGGGCAAAAGTGCATCTATTGATGCAGAGAAGTCAATGATTACTAAGGTAAAGTTCTGGTTGTTGTTTATTTTTTCTACTTCCTTCATTCCTTTCACTTTTCTCTGTTTCTCTCATTTCTCTTTATTATTTTTGGTAGTTATCCAAATCTCTCCAATATTGTATTATACGCTAGTGAAAAGAAAATTGTTTCTATTATTGCAGTTGAAAACTGAATGTGGCAGTCAATTTACCAACAAACTTGAAGGAATGTTCAAGGTATGTAGTAACTTTTATGGTTCAAAGCCTGATGTACTTGTATTTCTAATTCTATATGTTGATGCTTCGTATAGAGAAAAGTTGGTCTCTACAATATTCTGTTTTCATGAAATGTGTGGAGTTTCTTTCATTTATTAACCTTTTATAGTCAATTTAAGGAGTTGAGGACTCTTTTTCAGATGTGGGATATGAATCCGAAAACTAAGTCGGGGCACTTAGTTCCTTGACATGATAGTATTTATCCCACAACCCACATGGAAGATTTTCGCTTTGGTCTTTCTCCTCTTTATAATTTGTAGATTTGTGCATTTACGTTAAAAATTTGCTAGTTTTCTAAATCTGATTGAAGTCATCCTTGTAGGATGGTTTTGGGAAGTGGGGATAGGAATAATAGAAATATATAATATATATATATACATATATATATATTTCTTTTAGTATTTGGGAATCAATGCGCAGTTTCCAATTTGATATACCCAATGATGGGACTGAGCCATATACCCCATTTTTTGGGGGGTTTATAGTGATTGTAATTATTATACCTTTATATTTCATAAACCAATCAATTGTAATAGTAATCCATTACTTACCAACTACCACAAGTAAAATGCATACATTTACTATTCCTCTGTTTTACTTTCAAACCCATACCCAATATCCATGATGGTCCGTCAGTAATGTAAATGGGCAAGTTAATAAATTAAAAAATAAAATAAAATATCTGTTCACAGCTCTTTTTGTTATGTGGGATGCTATTGATGTACGGTACTCTTAATCCAGGACATTGAGTTGTCAAAAGAGATAAATGAATCATTCAAGCAATCATCCCAAGCTCGGACAAAACTACCATCTGGAATCGAGATGAGTGTCCACGTCTTAACAACTGGGTATGTTGCTGTAATTCATTGCTTTTTATTTGACTCTCATCTTCACATCTTTCCAATTTAGTGTGAGTCTATCAGTAATGAATTAAATCTGTGGTTGATTTGTTGTAGGTATTGGCCAACATATCCCCCAATGGATGTTAGGCTGCCTCATGAACTAAATGTGTACCAGGTTTGGTTGTGCTGATAAGATTTGAAGTTAGTTTTGATGCAAGAGTAACCATTGGATAAACAATAACCTCATTTTTCTCGTTAAAAATGAAAATTTTCTACCAGGATATTTTTAAGGAGTTCTACCTGAGCAAATACAGTGGTCGACGATTGATGTGGCAAAATTCACTGGGTCATTGTGTTCTGAAAGCTGAATTTTCTAAAGGTAAAAAGGAGCTGGCTGTTTCTCTATTTCAGGTAGTTTTCTTTTTCCTACGCATGTTTAATATTGTTTTGATGATGTTGATGACATAAAAAAAAAAAAAAAATTGACCTAATGCACATACTGTTATGTGGCTCAGACCGTTGTCTTGATGCTATTTAATGATGCTGAAAAGCTTAGCTTTCAAGATATAAAGGAGTCAACTGGTATCGAGGACAAAGAGCTGAGGAGGACTTTGCAGTCCCTTGCATGTGGGAAAGTCCGTGTTCTTCTGAAAGTGAGTGTTTTCTATTGATGTAGAGAGAAGTCTTCAATTTCCTTGGTGAAAATTGTTATACATGAAATCTGATTTATTTGCTAAAATTGTGCATGCAGATTCCTAAGGGCAGAGATGTCGAAGATGATGACTCATTTATGTTCAACAACCAATTTACTGCTCCTTTATACCGCATAAAGGTAGAATGAGATCCTTTTTTCTAATGAATCTTTCACTTTCTTGGGTTTTTTCATGTCGACAAGTTATAACCTTTTTGGCTTTATTACGAAAACTATCCTTAAGGTTTTAACATATTATCAAATGACCCTATTGACGGTTGTTTCTCCTCCTCAAATTTTGCTAATCTGAAAAGGGTGTTCGTATCTCTTTATGGGAGGCAAATTTAGTTTCAAAAGTTACTACGGGTGTTTTTTATTTCAATGCACATTAATTTTTTCTCACTTTTACGTGTGCATATATATATATTGATCATTGCTAAATGACTTAATCAACCCATTTCATGAGCAGGTAAATGCTATTCAGATGAAGGAGACAGCCGAGGAGAATGCCAGCACTACGGAAAGAGTATTTCAAGACCGTCAGTATCAGGTCTGCTTTAGCATCCCCAACAAGTTGTAGTATATAAGCAAAAATCGTTCGATTTTATCTTATTTTTTTTCCCCAAACTGTGCCTTCATTTCATCACAGGTCGATGCTGCTATTGTTCGTATAATGAAGACGAGAAAAGTTCTGAGTCACACCCTGTTAATAACCGAACTCTTTCAGCAGGTAATGAACGAGACCCTGCTACTGAAGTTTCTGCTTTAATTGCTGGTATAATTATGAAAAGTTGAAACCATCATTGAGATTTGACTAAATCCATAAAATTACAAATAGGCACTCGGGTTATCAAAAGCTTAATGTAAGTGGTGCAATTGTACCTTGTAGTATTAACTATACAAGTGGGGCATTTGCATTTAGTCTTGAAAGATCTATTGGGCTTTTCTTTTGAAACTAAAACCCGAAAAATGGTTGTTCTGAAACATTCAATAAACGATGGGCTGTCGTGTTGATGGATACAGCTCAAGTTTCCAATAAAACCAGCTGATTTGAAGAAAAGGATCGAGAGCCTCATCGACCGGGAATATCTCGAGCGCGACAAGAACAACCCGCAAGTATACAACTACCTAGCGTGATTTGCAGACTACAAATTGTACTGCAAATTATACTATTAACTTCCTTTTCCCCAATCCAACTAAAGTGAAAAACGGGAATAATGCATGCCACCTGATCTCTACCAGAAGTTGATAAAATCCCATTCCCAATTGTGTACAGGAGAGAGAACTCAATCAATAGCTGTTATTTATTTTGGTTGTGATGTTTATGCACAACTGTAATGTATTATGTATACTTTTCTTGGACTATGCTTTTAATTTGTGTCTTTATGCATTAACTATATGAGATTCTATCACCAATTTTAGAGTACCTTCAATTAATTATCAAATGCAAACATCTTTTTTTTTTTTTTTTTTTT